TAGCAGAATTCTGCTTTTCTTGGGGCAGAATCTAGATTCTCTGGGTACAGGATTATAAACATGAGGGTGGATTTTTTGCAGGGCTGGATTTGAGGCTTAAATGAATTTGAAGACTTAAGTGAAGATGGAGGGTTGTGAAAAACCTTCTGTCTTCATGACAAGGATGAGAATAATCTTTATAGCTCTTAGCTATAGCTCCTCTTGCAGGGACTGTATCTCTGCCTGGCATCTTTCCATTGCTCTCCCTTTTCTCAGCTCTCACACTAAAAGAATGAAAAACTCTGGAGAGAACTGCATTAGCAAAGGAAATATTGGGCTATGATAAATCCATCCTATCTGCCCTCATGTGGTGACAATTGGCATTTCTTTTACTATGATGGACCATATTCCAAGACTTCCTTCTCTTGGTTAATGCTTATCTTCCATAAGCAAAGCTCAGATAACGCATCAAGGCATGGCAAAGCCAAAGCATGCCACTCACAGAGAGATACCAGAATTGCAAAACATGTCTCCAGAATCTGAGATCTAAGGAAAAATGCATAATGACCCAGAGTTATTGGATCACTCGGCTACCAGCCTCAAGTATTGTGCCTTACTGCATTCTGCTAAGAGCTATAAAGATTATTCTCTGCAACAGACAAGGCAAAGCGGCTGTGTTTGGAGTTTTGCATTGGGGAACTGTCCAGCAAAATGTCTCCTGAAACTGTTAAAGAGCAGCTTCAAGTCAGAATGGTGCAAAACAGATTGCAAGGGATCAAAATCAAAGCCAGGAGGTCATGGGCACTTCATTTCCTAATTCCCTGCAAAATACATTCCTTGGCATAGTTGGAAGTTATTCCAGTGCTGGAATAACAGTCTAGCCACTGTTTCATGTTCCCAGATAACTGATATACAGAGGTGGGTGGCCACTGATGCTGGAAGGGACAAATAAACCAGAGATATTTGCCATAAGGGGTTGTATTTATTAATTTTCCAGCATAGGATGTGTCCCCTTTGGAAGTCATGCATAGTTCTTTAGAGCAGTAGATAGAAGAGATGGAAAGGAAATTTAAAATGTTCAAATAATAATAATAATAATAATAATAATAATAATAATAATAA